ATGTAACGAGTAGATTCACACTTTTCCACTCAATCTGAATTGTTGCGATTTACGTTAACAGTTTTCTGCCAACAATCCACAAAACACGGTGGCATCTTAGCGTCTCGGTGCGGCGGTCGGGCGTTGGATATCGATAGAAGATTGTTATGTCGATTGTGTTTTTATTGAGCTTTCTACGTGCTGCTGACTGTAGTCGATGCGGATCTTGTGTGTAAGCAAAGGAAATTCGAGATTGCTGTTCTAGTTGTTTTGCTTCGGTGTGTACTACAACAATCCGATAGAGGAATCCAATAAAATAGCAATTTAGTGGCCTGGTATTGTCTCCCTTCGCATTTTTTTCTGTTCCGGAGGATATGATTGAAGATACGTGTAGAAACGCGTGATCACGATGAGAAAGCATCAATTCATTGATATACGGTGGTCCATCCTGAGTTGGCAATAACCTTCGGAGCTGGACGGGATCTGGAAGCTTAATTGGATGATGGCTTTAGGGTCGTCGCAAATCGGTTTATTTACGGGGGTTTATTCATTCAGAGACGTATCAGTTCTTCAGTTGGTATTTTTATCCTTGGAATGGGGTTGAGTGGGAATGGGGTTGACATCTTTGCCGAGGAACAAACCAAATCTGATGAACTTTTCATGCCCTTTAACAAGTTGGAACTTAATCATCACCTAACTAGTCCAGTCCTGAGAATGAGTTTCAAAACATTCATAGAAAATTTACGATGGCAATTAGCGATATATTTATCATGATTGATACATTTTAGAAGTAGCACACACTGTAGAATTACTCGGAATATTTCATTAACTTTTAAAATGATCGCAACTTCTAGCATGTTTTTAGAATTTTATCAGAATACCAAATGGAACCAAGCGTAGGTTTCGGAGAACCGGGGGCTAATTTGTATACACTGAATTCCATTAGGTCTAATGCCGGTAAAACGAAATTTTAATAACGCTTTCCTCATATAGGGTGTGTCAGTTTCTAAAAGCACAACTTGTTAATGGCTAACCAGATGGGCTGGTCTAAAGGGATTCCCATGATCTCTGATATACTCGCCTCTTTTGATGGCTAGCTTGAGCTCGAAAACTTAGAGTTACAAGGTCGGTTCCTGGCTTGTCGATACTAATCAGACGCACAAAAACACATTAAATTCACTTTTAATTCGTTTATTCTTTTACTCACTCGTTATGTCTGTAGAGTACTGGCCAGCGATGACGGGATTTTGCGGCGTAGTGAATTTCTCAAGGTTCCCGGCGGATGCCGGTGTTTGACGGTTGTCGCAGCGTGGCATGACGGACATCGTGCCAGGACTCGATCAGCTGATCGACGATGGTCTCGCAAGTCATCCATCGCTTGCTAAACGGGTGCTGGCAGTTTATCGTTCACCCTCGCACTTTTCGACCAAAGGTTTTCGGTCAGATCCCAATGTTTTTTTTTAGCCCGTAATCAAGGTTGCAAATACTCATTTCAGCTAAAATAAAGTTTTTCGGAACATTAAAACCAAAAGATGGTATGATGACATGTTTTACTTGTAACTTACAAGAAGAGGTTACGCATAAAACCTGTAAATTTTGCTTTCTATGAGTCACAATCAGCGATTTGCTGATCGCTGAGTGAGTGAGTGAGTGTGTGAAAACTGATTGTGACTCTCATGAAGTGAAATAAACAGGTTTAATATGTCAAACACATTCTTTGCAACCTCTTCTTGTATCTTACATATTCAAAATATGATCATAGCATCTAATTATTTCATAATTAAAATAAAAAAAAACATTGTTTTAGCTGAAATGAGTATTTGCAACCTTGCCCGTAATTAGTGGGTCCTGATGGGAATATGCGAGGTGGCCTTACGGCTGGGAAATTCGCTACTGGATTAATCAATTGGGTCCTACCTGACTCCATATTTGGCGCTATTTGTTGATATTGGTTGGGAACTGTTTTCACTTCACTACTTGTTAAACATTTGATAAAACGACCAAAATTTTAGAACTCGTTTCTAACTTGGTAGATCAATGTATCTCGCGCAATGGCTGAAGTAAAAGAGAACCTTCTATTCAGTTTGACCCAGTAACTTCCCCTTTGACCTAAGCCCATTTCCACCACTGTCTTGTCCACATCCTTCTACTGCTTTCCTCCTTATCCTTACTGCGGCCCGTTACGTGTTCTGTGTTATTGGTGTGATTGGGTTACAATATTTAATTTAACCGTTGGTGTGAGAGTGGGTTTCCATTATATACTAGCTTAGCTCCCATGAGTATGATCGAATTCATAACGAATACACATATACCTTATTCCTCGCTCTCGTATCTCCTGATTTCTCCCGTCTGAAATAGATAACTACAGGGTACAGGAGCCAAAACGGCAACAAAATTCAACACGCCACCATTTGTATACCGATGATTCATGGGCGATGACGTTTAACAGCTATTCATCAATGTGTGCACTGCCTATAATCGCACATCAGTCCCAATTTTAAGATAACAACGTTACCCACCATCGAATATCAGTCCCATCCTGAAATTCGAACGTCCAGAGTTCAAGTTACAATTCTGCTTTTTCTCAATGTATGCTTTTTTCCATATGGGACTGATATGGGATAATAGGCAGTGCAGCTGTTAACTTACCGCTCAATAATTCTGTTTGCCATAAGAGCAGTTCTAAATTTTCAAAACGCAAGAAATTTTCCCCCCAACATGCGCCTATAGATCTTGCAAAAATGGTCCACAATTATTGACTGCCACTCAGGAAATTGGCAAAAATGAAAGAAGTAAGTATGGGAGCAATCCAAATTTCCTCATCCGGAAGTTTGGTGAGATGAGCTTGCAGGACACAAAGCAATCTAGCCGAAAATATGAACCTCGGATCCTAGCTTTTGCCAATTAGAACCGCGTGGTGACTTTACTACCGAGACTGGCAAAAGAAGTTGTCGTCCGATTTGCTCATATACCGCCGCCAATATGCAGAAACAGTTCTATTTATGTTTATAAACCTACATATGTCGTCCTTTGTCGTAAGCTTGTTCTTGATCCCTTCATAAAAATGTTCCTTTTCGATCAAGCGAAGGATGGTTTTCCATTTCCACTCCACCTCTTACATCGTTGTGCATGTCGAGATTGAAATACTTCTCCAGCACCAACGCTAGATCACGATCCGGGACTTCAAGTGACAAACCGTATACTCGAGCGTATTCAATGTTGCTTCACACAGGTGACATACGTACCTTGACTGCCTATCTTTCTTCTTAATGGAAAATTAATTCGTCAAAGTTGTTCCTTATTATTTTTATTTTACGTTCAATCATTAAGTCATAAACTAATTCTCATTAATCCCCTAAATCGTGGTAAAAAATATATTTTCAGCAGATATTATTAAAAAATATTTTCAGCAGATATTATATAAAAAAATGAATTAGCGCCTAAATGTAGGCAATTTTATACATCACTCGTAATTTCACAGAAAATCATTAATTTCTAACATTGGAAACATTTTACCTTACCTAAAAAAAAATTAATTCACAATTAGTTCAATGAAAAATACCACTTTAAAAAAAATTATATTGAATGTTATTCAACATAAATTAAATAAAATTTAAAATTTTGCTGTAAAATCTTTTTTTTTTTTTTCAAAGAGAAACTTGTCGAATTTACCATTTGAGTCTTCTTATTGAAAGCCATACATTGCAAGATGGACACAATTATATGAAAAAAGTTATTCTAACAACAGCTTTTCCATGGTGTCTACTCATTGTGGTAAATAAAATTCCCAGAGGAGGGTTGGGTTCCGGAAAAGTTCCAGGTTTAAGACAGAGCTGTCTTTAATGCGATAAAAATATATTATTTTTAATAACACAACTTAATTGTCACAAACATTTTTAAGACATGACAATCAGTTCGTAATCAAAGAATTCACTTTCAGTTCTGCTCACCACGTCCTTTGATTTCTTCTTAACATTTGATTGCCACTCAAGTAAGAACAAATTCGGTGTAAGTTCAATCTGTAATCTTCTAAAATTTAGCCCGTTGATCGATTCGGACTCATGGTACTCGTAATAGAGAGCGCTGATTTTTTTTTTCTGGATTCTGAAACATAAAAAAAATACTCTGAGACACGGGATTTTGTTCAATAGCTCAGACTGGCAAAAATTATCTAAATTCGAGGATTTGTAAAAATATCCAAGTTCTAAATTCTGAAACTTAAAAACTTTAACTTAAATTCAAATTTTAAAATGTGCCGAAATTAATCATTGACATACAAGATGATACATAAACACACATGACGTGTTAAATTGAATGCTCCGACATAGAAATATCGGTGAAAACACCTTTCAACCGAACTGAATTTCGTGTCTCTTTGATTTAATATATGTAAAAAAAATGACGTTTGCATGTGTCGGTCGTAGAGTACTGAAATTAACTTAAGTTTTACCTAGTGTGTAAGTCAAAATTATGGCTTTCAAGTTGCACTAGATAATAATCATGCAATTTTATAATTTACGCACGCATTCACCTCCTTCTCTTCTGCACAGTCACAATTGTCACACATTAGCATTATCAGATTCCTGTTGTAATAGAATATCATGCACCGTTTCCACTCCACTTGTGAGTCAACTGATGACTGACTGTCTGCCCAACCCGTAACCAAATGGTCAACGGCCTCCGTACAGGTTCTAGTTAGGCATTTCCCAGTCACGCGATGCTGGTCGGCGACTACCGCGCTGCTTGTAATACGACACATGTAAAATAACGCCGACGAATACAGTATTCACGCTTTGTCGCGAAATTGGATCGTGTTTCAAACTCAGCACCCTCCGATTCCCGACCTATCACCGATGGGGTGTAATTTAACATATGTACACCGTCATGTCTGGCAGCCGAGTTGGCTATTTTTGCACCTTTTATGCAATGGGTCAGTAATCTTAAATGTTGGTGGTTGACACACGAATATGCTTAAATATATACTTATGAAACTATTAATCACTACTTTGTTATTCACTTACCTATGCTTGCAACGGTAGATCGTTTCGTACACTGGACCATCGAAATGATTTAGGACAAAGTATGTGACGATGCTGGTATCGGTCAGGTATTCGGCTCCCGTTTCCGACAGGACGAACGGTAATTTTAACGACTGGGCCGCGGCCAGGGTGGCTTTGTCGTGGGCAACCGCACCGACCAGACAGACGCGCACTTGTTCCCGCGTAGGTGGTGGCGATATCGACATGGCTGCGAAACAGAGAGAAATAGGAGATAAATTGGGATTAGTTATGGCCGTTATTAATTATGAACCATTTCGGAGAGGCATTTAAACGACGCACATCGACGCGAACGTGATGTAAGCCCTACAGGCACGAGAGAAAAATGATAATTAAATAGTTAATGTGTGAACATAATTGGTTCAAGACCGTAAGGTGTAATCCTATAAATTTAAATTAATTCGCTTATGGTATTACCGCTGCTCTAGAGCAACCTTTTTTGCTGCAACTAACACCGAAGACTACACAGAGTATTAAGGAAAATCTCTCCGAAGAGAGCAAGGGGTTAGAACTTTTCCCGGAACAGCATCGTAACCTTTCCACAGCGAGCGAGCCTGTCGTATCAGAGCACTTCATACCAATGATCCGCTAAATGATTTATGATGCAGGGTATCATACTAGCGAGAAAAAAAATCTAACAAGCTGGTTTAAAGCAAGAGCATTCGTGATGGTGCTCTGAAAGTTGGTTCACACCCCGCGTCGTCCATTAATTATCATTACCTCGTTATGATGATATCACAAGTTCATTGTTTCAGTTACTGCAATACTCGTTCGTTTCCGTTGCCTCTATATGACATAGCACACCGACCAATGTTGTGTTCTTTGAAGAGTTAATTAGTGAGAACGCCAACAGCTACATAGTTATGTTACATCCAGTTTCCACATACAGGAAACCCCCGAAGAGGGCGGTGGGTGATGTCATCTGTCCCACGATTTCTCGGATCTCAGCTCGATTGGACAGCGGACAGCCAAGAAATTGCAGTTGGTGCCCGGCATCAGCCACCGCGTTATTCGGGGGATTGCTGTACATTATAAATAATCATCACGATTTTGAATAGACGGAATTCCTATCACGGTGGATACACAACGAGCTTTAAAACGTTATACATTACATATTTCCATTCATCATATGCATAAACGGATGCTTTGCTACCATTTCACATAAGAAGGGCTCCATATAAATGGGTGGCCAAAATTTCCAAAAGGCAATGATGTTCGATTTTAATATGTTTTAGAATGTTTTTTTTTATAGTTTATTGTCTAAATTTTCATGAACCATGTATTAAATTTCAACAGAAAAATAGTGTTAAAATGAAACATGTCTTAAACGGTTGCTTGTATAATTATTGTATACCACTTTAAAGCTCATATGACGTTCTTTCCGAAACTGCAAGAATAATAATGTTAATGTTAATGTTTATCGACGATGATGTATACTTTGATGCCCTAAATATAACATTATATGCATCCAAAGTTTTCAAAAGTTGCGGAAAGGTGAAAACCAGCTATTTTAGAATTGCTATTGTTAGGTTAAAATATGACAAAAGTATAAATAATTCACTTGTTGCATGGTTGTTTTTTTTTTTTAATAACAAAAATTCACCAACAATCAGCTGTATCTGAATAATTACAGCTGCTTTTTTCAAATAATTGGAAATTATTCACCTAGAACTAAAAAAATAATGTTGGCCGCGTTTCGCATTTTTCAACCATTGTGCATTTGGGAGAAACTGTAACAACAAAATCAATACGTTTCATTTTTTGGATTTGAGCACCATGGCATCGCATTACGAAACAACACATTTCACCACTGTACCATCGCGAGAACCCACTCCAGATTGCTAATTAGTCGGTAAGTGCCTTTGGCGAGCGATCTGATAGCATTGTTTTCAGTTTACCACCCGCTTTGTGTACGGGTGTACATGATTATGATGCTATCCGGTGTCCAACGATGAGACGAATAAGCGGAGCAAACTCCAACCATCAACTCGTAAAATGATAATGCACTTCTTGAATCATGCGGAGGCGTATTAGATTTCAAAGCGAACAAAAGTGAAATTGTTGGCGGTAATGTTCCACAATGATGACTTAGTGGATGGATGTTGACGATGTGAATAGCCTCTTTACATGCCGATGACAGAAACCGTCGCCGGATTCCGTGCTGACGTAGTGTTCGTGTACTTTTGCTGATCATCGTGTGACTTGTCTTTACATTAACGGATTGATGGCGCAAGCGATGAATATTAATTAAGTGGTCCTGTATTTGTTGTAAGCAGTGTTTGAAAATCGTTCATCAAACGATAATGCAGACATACACACTACGAAAAACTCAAGTAAATTTCGGTGCTCTGACGTCAGACACATGACAGATGACACAAAGTTCAGTCACAAAAGACGAGAGATTGAATTCAATCAACCGTACTTTTCGTCGCGCTAATTATTTTTCGGTCTCGGGATCATGAATGTTTTGTTTACGCTTTAACATTCACGTCAAAAGTGAATTGCGGTTCGATTGTGTACGGAAACGTTGTCGGGTACAAATGGTATTGTCCTCGTTTAAAGTGAATTTCAATCCCTGGTTGGAAATCATTATGTTTGATTGGGCATAATTATCCGTGTTTTGCAAGGCAATGAGCATTATGAACTAGAACGACGTTGAACTAAATTATTAATGCCAACGAGAGCTTCAAATTATCTATTATGGTCTTATGGAGGAACAAAGTTTGATCCGCTACCGACTGCTAATATTTCTAGACCAACAATTGGAATAGGCGGAACAATCAAACGTAAACAATGGCATTAAACCCACACCCACGCAAACTAACAATGCCGTTCGATAAAGGAAGTTTGCTCTATCAGATGCTGGTGTTCGACTGCTTGGAAGTGATTGGTTTCTCGAGAAAATTTGCGTTTGGTTGTTCTGCCTATTTCAATTGTTGCTCTAGATTTCATTTGGTGATGATGACAGTACTTTCAAAAAAATCTTAAAGCTACACCAGAAATTTAGTCTCGAGTCGATAGCTCCATCAACCGTCCAATTCAATTATTTCATAATTAGATTTGATTCTCGGGAAATTTGCGTTTAAAGCCATTGTTTACGGTTGGTTGTTCCGTCTATTTTAATTGTTGGTCTAGATTTCATCACCTAACAATGACTTTAAACTGCTTTCAAAAACATCTTAAAGCAACACCAGACACTTAGTTTCGAATCGTTGGATCCATCAACCGTCCAATTCAATTATGTCATAATTTGCACAGCTTCAGTTCAAACAAAAAGCTCACCACCTCAGTATCGGCCATCGCATCACTTCCTCCATATATATGGTCGTCAGTCAGTGCAAAATTGCTATTAATCCGGTAAAAATCCATCAAACGTCACCCGTGCGGTGGGCTTTCGATATACCGTCAATCTCTCCCTTCACTACAACACCACACAACAGCATCAACCGTGGATCGTTACTTTTCATAAATTATAATTTGATGGCTTAATTAATTAAAACTCACCACCAAAGCGTGGAAGATAGACAAGGTTTTTATTCGATATAGACACCTTAAGATTTTCATTTTTTTTTTTTTCACAAACAACCAGATAGTCTGCAACGTGTCATGCTAGGCACCACGATAGCAATCGAGCGAAACCAACCATTAAAGGCATCACACTGGAATACTGAAACTCTCTTACGAAAAATGGAAAAACAAAAACAATAACATTCCGCGGCTGGTTATGGTGCGTGGAAAATGGTCGTTGTAGCAATGATGCAATATTGTTGTCCAAGATAATCAGTCGTTTAAAAACACTTTGCTGCTGAATTAAGTTTGCTTTTCTACAGATGAAGCAGTGTGTTCAACTGCAGTGTTACTATGAGTTGGTTGATCGTGACGACAGTACTAACAGGTGGTGGTAAGAAGTGTTGACATCAGTTGATATTTGTTAATGACGATAGCCATAAAGGTTAATAGATTACCCATATATTTCAATAGGGTGTTTCATTTTGAAGAGAGTATTAAATTTCATATAGGCCACCCTTCAGTGCGATTTATAAACCTAAAAAAAGGGCCTGTGCTAAAACTGCTAACTTTGGGGCGATGAAAAACATTAATATGTTGTTTCTATGAAAATTATCAAAAAGCTTGGTGTTACGATCAGTTTTACAGCATATCAAGAACAAATAGAAATGCGTTATGCGTTGACAAAATAGGGTAGATTGACAGATAACAATGGGCAAGACAACAGCACCAATTTCATCACAACAATAACATGCTTATTAATCATTGTCATGACAACCACATATCAAATCTTTTCATCGTTTGCACAACTACAGCCAAACATAGAGCAATGTACGTAAAACTCAATAATTTCCCAGAGTAATGCACCGAAATCTCCATACAAGCTTCAATACATTGGCGCGATCTCTAAGCCTTCATCAATCTTCACCATTTTGGCATTGATATTGATTCGAACTAGAGGGCGACACCCTACTATTGCAATCAAGCATTGCAAACAAGCTATTTTAAAGATAGGAATTAAATGTACTTGTCTAGTTTCAAAATCGAGTTGAAGAGGGTTGTACGAAAGCGTAAATTTCAGCTTTTATTAACTGAATAATAGATTTATATCATATAACATATAACATATCAATATAACATAATCATATGATCAATATATTTCAATACGTGCTTAAAATATAAGTAGAATGTTACTCATAATTAGCTTGCTAGAATTAAGTTGAATTTTGTTAATTTTTTTACTGCATTTGAGCAAAACCAAATGTTGATATTTACGGTTGAGCAAATCTCGAAGTTTCTAGAAGAAAACTTGTAGAAATTATCTTTTAAAAGAAGCATTCAACATGAAGTTTCTAGAATAAGCTTCCAGAATTAACTTCTAAAAGGAAGCCTCTACAGGAAGCTTCATCTTTCAAGTTACTGTTGCTGCTGCATGAACAGTCCAAGAAAAAAATAAATTTTCTAGTGCATTGCATTTATTTGCAGGCTCGGTAAAGCTAACGCGATTGAGCCTTGCAAATAAACGAACTGTATGTATGTATGTATGTAAGTAGCCACCATCCTAGCTTGGGTCTTGCCCTGCATGCGGCTCTACTCAACAGCAAGATCAAATTCCGTCATCATTCTGAATTCAACATACTGCTATATGAAGGGCTAAAAAGGGTTGGACGGGCCCGTAAGCAG